ATATATATATATATGTGCATACACGGATAGGTTTTAATTCGTTTGAAAAATATTTATTTCGTGTTTAATTGTATCATGTTTCTTTAATAAAAACATATTACAGACATTAATTCGATAAATCGATAAAAACCATTTTTAAAGGTTATTGTTCTAAAATTAATTCTATCGAACATATTCAATTTTATTTTAGAACATTACAATTTTTTAATGACGAATTCAAGTCCTGTAGAAAAAAAAAAAATGATTTTTTCCAGAAAATAAATTTAATTTCATATTTTTAATATACATATTCGTAACTTACAATTTTCAAACAGTTAATTGTTTAATATATATATATATATATATACACGCTAGCGATGTATAGTAATGTTTAAAGTTTTATATTTTTAGCGTATACATATTTTTAACACATAATTAAACCATTTCTCATAATCAATATCAAATGTATTCATTATGTCTGTTTTATTCTTATTATGAAAGTGAATGATATCAGTTAGTAGAATTGATGTTTCTAGAATTTACATAGATATATAAACATTTGTCATACGTATACGAGACAAATAGGAACATATTTCCCGAGTTTGTTCTCTCTCTCTCTCTCTCTCTTTCCCTAAAGAGAACAAAACAGAGAGCAACTAGAGAAACGAGATAATTTTGAAATGAAAGGAGTCACAGTGTGACGGAAGCATTACGAGATCATGATACCTTTCTAAAATAAGCTAACCCAAATTAATAAGAGGTAAACAAACTCGTAATTTTAGAAAATCTTGTACAAAAAGAGAGACAATAACGGGTCTGGGTCATGAGGTTTTCCTTTGTTCTAATCGATTCTTTGGAAAATAACAAACGGACCCAAGTTACATACCTCGTCCATTATATCGATTTTCCTTTACGAGCTCGAACATTCTGCCTCTTTCGTCGACGCACACAATTATCCGGCACACAAACTTAATAGAAAATTTTCGCCGACGGGATATTATCTTAGACGATTTACTCGATCGTAGATCATTATCGATTCTGTATCTTATGTTTTTAAAAAGAGACGAAGGAAGAAAAAAAAATCGTTTTCCGATCCTCTTCTCATGATTTCACGTTTGATCGGTCTGAAGGTCGAGACCTATAAGCGTTTCTAATTTATCGTTGTTCATTTACAGTCGATCGATTAACGTAATGCGAACGAACGCTCTTCTTAGCCTAGTTTATTAAAATACTAATAAGGAACAAAAAGGCGAATATATATCTATAGAAAATTAATCAGTTGACGAGTTAATTGTGTTAATAGATAACATAATATCTAGGTACGTAATATTTCGTTTAAAAAAAAAAACTAAAAATAACATGTAATCGTCGATATTTCTTATAGGAGATTTTTAAATCGGTACGCTAAACGATTTCTCCAAGAACCATAGATCCATCTTATAAAAGAGCAATCTCGTTGGGCACGGGAAAAAGGCATCCGTGCTAAAAAAAAAAAAAGAAAAAAAAAAAAAAAGAATAAAAAAGAAAAAAAAAGAAGAAAAAATATACCTATCTAAAAAATAAAATAAAATGAACACACCAGCTGTCAGCTGGCACACGGGAAAACGCGAACGTCCGTTTGCGTTTTGATTTCGAAAAAAAGATAAAATATCTCACTGGTAACGAGCTCTCCGCGTGAGAAGGAAGCATTGTTAAATCGTACTCGTGCAATCGAGGAAGTAACTCACACGATGAAAATATATTCTACATCGCACACGTCGTTCTTCGACCTTATACGTTTAGAGAGAGAGAGAGAGAGAGAGAGAGAGAGAGAGAGAGAGAGAGAGAGAGAGAGAGAGAGGCTTCGAAGTCATTGGATAAAAAAAGAAGACGTACGAAAAATATTAAAAGTTGACACGTTAAGTATATCAGAAATTATCAATTAAAATTTTATCTAACAATAAATATTAACCAACTCGAAAAATATATAAAACAAAAACAAAAATTACAAACGTAAATATTTATTATTAGAATAGTCGACGCGCTAAATGCACGCTTCTTTTATCAAAAACTACGAACAAAATTTTTTTCATAGAATAAAAATTAAGCGATCTCAAAAAATACGTACAACAAGAACAGAAATGGTAGAAATTTCTCGATAAACGCATATATGAACACAGTTTAAAACTAGCGTTTATTAAAACCGAGAGCAACAACATCAAAAACGGAAACGCACCGACCGACCTTATCGCGATTTCACTGTGAAAAATAATTTTCATCGGAGATTATGATCAGGCGACGTTGTTCGACGACAAGTGTGTCAGGAAAAGCGAGAACTAGCGGTGGTGGTATGATAACGACTGATTATGAGCACGGTCAGAAGATAATGATGATGTTTTATAAAATATAGCTAGATCCTACGTTCTCTGCATTTAAATCTCGAACAATTCTCAATGATCGAGAAACAAACGATTTCTCGATATAATCTCGCTTATTATAATTTTAACATATGTATTTATACATATACGTGAAGAGTATTCGATATTCGATACTATCGATTATATCGGTACGTTCGCCCGATCTCAACATGACCGATTTCCCGCCAAATTTTACACTTGCGTATATTATATATGTATTTATGTATATATATATGTGTACATATACATATATACGTACACACACAACATACGTACACATACATACATACATACATCATACATATATACATACATACATACATACATACATACATACATACATACATACATACATACATACATATATAAACACACATATATATATATCTCCACTAATAGGGAAATAGTTACATTCGAAAAATTGTTTTGTTATCGTCGTTTAAAAAAAAAAAAAAGAATTCAAAGACGACATTTCTTAAAATTTCTAGGTTAGAATCTTCAAATCTTTCTTTCTCTATTGAATATTTACGACGATTCTCGAATACTAGATTAAAAAGTAATTGTAACTAAAAAGAGGTGCCGGTAGATAATGTCCGGTACAGGATAAATCAAGTAACCAAGAAGAGCATGATTACCTTTATGTTCGCGCCCTAGCCTCGTTTGTGGTTTTACGGTATGCACTAAAAATAGCCAGCACCCATAAAACTGTTTGGTGAGAGAATCTCGAGAAGAACGAGAGAGAGAGAGAGAGAGAGAGAGAGAGAGAGAGAGAGAAAGAGTAACAGAGAGAGAGAGAGAGAGAGAGAGAGAGAAAGAGTAACAGAGAGAGAGAGAGAGAGAGAGAGAGAGAGAAACAGAGAGAAAAAGAGAGAAATAGAGAAAGAAAAAAAGAGAGAGAATATCCGGGCGACGCGAGCGCGGTTTTAAGCAGTAACGCCCCGTAACCTCGATATTCGATCACCGTCGAAAAACTTCCCTCGCGTATTTGCAAGGAAGAAGATCGAAGATAAAGAAAGAGAGAGAGAGAGAGAGAGAGAGAGAGAGAGAGAGAGAGGGAGAGAGAGAGAGAGAAAGAAAAAGAGAGAGAGAAAAAAAGAGAGAGAGAGAGAGAGAGAGAAAAATAACAAACACATCAAAATAAAAATAAGATATAGAGACGAATAATTGGCACGCTCGTTAAAAAAGAAAAAAGAAAAAAGAAAAAATAAATAAATAAATGATAAAGAAAAAAAGTGAGAGTAAACATTGACCGAGACGAGAATGAAAGCGGCAAATAAAAAGGAAGAAGAAGAGGGTTGAATGAAGGATTGGTTGATATCAATGGGAAGTAGTGGCTCGAGAAATGAATAAAAGAAAGACAATGAAATAGGCGCGAAATCCAAAGGAAAGGAGAGAGAGAGAGAGAGAGAGAGAGAGAGAGAAAGGAAGAAAGAGAGAGAAAGAAAAAGAAGTAGAGAGAGAGAGAGACATTGGCTAATAAGATCGGTTAACGTTTCTTTCAAATAAGATAAATCGGTCATGAATCATTATTCGATAATAAAAACTCGCATTGTTATATTACTCACTTTATCCTTTTTCAGGCTGACAGATGAAAACCCGTGTCCCATGCCGAGGATATTCTTCATTTTGAATCGACGATCTGACCGTGCGCGGCACTTGGAAAATCGAAGGACCGTCGCTTCGCCCTGTATACGTGTAACATCATCACCGTATTTCTAATATCGTATTATTCGTTAATAAATTAATAACAGTAAATACGATTATATCCTATGATATACATATACGACCGATTTTCTCGATGAAAATCGTTCGATCGCGCGTGCCTGCGCTCGCACGAACGGCTCTTAGGAATCCATGACAGGTACGAGCCACGGGTATGGCCGCGAATCGCATGCGCCATGAGCAGAAGTCATCCGTGTTTTCTTTCTCTTTCTTTCTCTCTTTTCTTCTTTCACTCACTCACTCACTCACTCTCGCTCGCACGCGTTCTCTCTCTCTCTCTCACCAAACAGACATATACACACACTCTCTCTCTCTTTCATTCTCTTTACCGCCCTCTCTCGCCATCTCCCGTAACTTACTCGTCGACATGATCGGCCGGTATATAGATGAGAAACTCAAACGTTAATTTCAAATTCTATTACCATGAAACAATAAGTTGTGATAAATTATTTCGAATAAATTATTTTCAAATTTAATATTTTGGAAAATTATGAGACTTGCCTTTTTCTTTTTCTTTCCTTCGGTCATTGGAATAACATAAATTTTTTGTATTTTGTTTTGTATATAAAAAGGAAAAAAGTGAGAAATGATACGTTCGAAGCTCTCTCTCTCTCTCGCGCGCGCGCGCGCTCTATACTCATGTTTAATAAAAATATAAAAATTCAACGATTATTTTCTTTTTATAAAATTAAATTAAGAATGTAAAGTTTACGTATAAATAAATAATGCAAGGCTTTGATTGAAATCTTACATAAAGTTTAAATGAAAAAAGAGTAAATGAATTTGTAATTGTTAATGAAATTTTGTTACTGAATATATGATTTAAATTTCTATTCGATTCTTTTTTTCTTATCCTTTCTTTTTTTCTCTTTCGCGTTACGTTAGAAAGATTAACGTATAACAAATATTTAAAATATTTTAATATGTCGTTTGTGGGACAAAGTATACACATTTCTTTGGAGTATACATATATATGTGTGTATATATATATATATTTAATCACATGAGTAGAATTCAACATAGACAGACGAAAGCGATCATTTGTTACGCTATTACCATCGATCCAAAAATTTATACTCACAATTTTATAAATTATGACAAACATATTCAATAATTTAACATTAATCAAACGTATATATCGGAACGATCCCTTACAATGTATTACGTAAATGATCTACTGCAACGGTAACTGTACAAGGGCAGTTTTTATGATGATACCAAAGTGATTATTATTTTATTGTATTTCTGGTCCCATAATTTATGAAAGACCAGTAAATAGTACCGATAGTAGAGACCGCATAATTAAATTTTACTATTTTGTGACTCTACAAATTACGTAATTAAGAAAACTTCATAAAAAATCATTTAACGTAATCTATATTAAATGTAAACCATTATAATCTATCATTGAAAATGTCAATGATAATTATACATAATTCATTGAATTCCGGATAAATAATTTTATCCTATATATTATATATATATATATAAACAAATCGATGATAAAAACACAATGGCACAAAGGAATTGAATCCTTTGGTATCAAGATTATTTCTCATCTATATGCTTGATTTTCTAATTTATTTTTAAATGTTTTGGATCGTTGCATTGAAAATGCGTCGCAATTAAAATGATTTTGAGAAATTTATATATATATATATATATCTGATTTGAGATTACTCATTTACACAATGCATAGAACGAGACTTTACTAGCACCGTGTCTCGTACAAGCCACTCCGACCTATATATCTAACCCATTTTATAACATCATGATCAGAGTAATTCAACTTAGATTCAAATACTTTCAAATAGCGAACTTTAAAACCTGATGGAGCGAATGGTACCTCAAAGTTCATTGATATTGGTGGCCTTGTCCATTTCTTTTTTGTATCCGTTTCAAGTAAATCAATTTCTGCTGAAAGTTGAGTTTCCTTCATACCAGCCATTCGTTTTATCTTCCAAACAATAGCATTCTCAGATGCTTTATATTTGGCTTTTCCTTTCAAACAAATCAATTGTACTCCTGCAGTATTTAAAGGTGTCGGTACGCGTACTTCTATTTTTTGTCCCAACAATGAAGGTTTAAAGTTTGATTTCAAAACGGCTTTAACTTCCATTTTCGTGCGACCCACTTCTCTAACCAATGGAATAACGCGGAACGGTAACGATATATCTTTTGTCGTACGATACCTGAAGTAAAATTACATAAAAGAAAAAACATATAAAATCTCATTTGTTTTTTATCCTATTTTAAGAAATAAGATAAAAATATATTTACCTCATTAATTCAAATTCACCATCTGGTGGTATAAAACTAATGGAATGTTCCGTTTCGAATTTACTGAGCTTAACACACTGATGAAATTGGCAATCATCGATAACAACAACAGGTTTACCAGATCTAGCACCAGAAGGATCATCGCCTCCACCTCCTAATCCACCACCACCTTTTATGCCTTTAGATTCCATAACAATTTTATCATTGATACCAAATTTACATTCTGGCATACCAGACAAGTAAGATTTCATTACCACCTATGACAAAAATAAAAGAAAATTGTCAGTAATATATATTGACAATTTTAATTAATATTAAATATTTAATGTAACTGACCTTTCCTGCAACATGTGCACTAAGAACTTGGCCTTGTGGGCTCATCAAGAGATTCACATATTCTAATACATCCAAGAAAAGTTCATTGCGACGATATTTGATACCTTCTCGTCGCCATCCTATCTGTCCTGTTACTTGTGATGTTATTTGAGCTTGTTCCTCTTTTGTTGCCGATTTAACTCCTTGTTGAGTGATAAATGTTTTTAATACGCCGGTATCGCAATTTTGGGGATATCCAAAATCCAATATTTCTGAAAGAATTTTTGAAATGAAAATATTAGAAATTATATGATTATATAACATTTATAAATATATAGAAATTAACTAACCATCGAGTAATTCATAAATCAATACAAAATTGTTCTTGATATTTTCCTCTGATATTTTACCAAAATATGATTGCATGACATCAATGATCTTGAGAAGAAATTCAAATACCATTGCAGCGTTGACATTTTGCTTAGTTACAGCAGCCAACCAGATGTTAGCACGTTTTATATGAAAAAATGATGTTCTAGCGATATTGGTCACAGGAGAGCGTACTTGTTGGCGTGCATGGATAACATTAACTCGAAATGCATCGACAGCATTTCGGCCAATGTCATCACGGTATACTCTGGAAATGAGTACCTCTCCTTTATGATTATAAACAAATAAACCCCCTATCATTTTGATAGAGGATATCTCCCACGTCTATGATTATAATGAATCTGTGAAAAAAATAATCAAATCCATATTATTTCTAAAGAGATTATTTCAAACAATGTGTAAAAAAATCAATGTTCGTGTTTAAGATCTTTATTTAAAAAGAAAAAAGAAAAGAAAAAAAAAAAGAGTACTTCAACTGAGAATTTAATTCAAACGTTTAAATAAATCGTATGATATTAATGATCCGCGATCATGTTTAAAAATTATCAGACTCGAAAAATATTAATGAAGTTTAATAATTTTTTTATATATTTAACATACGTTCTATATTTAAAAAGGAAAATATATAATAATATTAACACAATGATAGATAACGCCCCATCTCACTTTATGAGTGACATTTTAGACTATTGCATCTTAGAGGCGGTTGGTATTATCGATCGGAAACGAATACTACTATCTCTATAGCAAATATCAAAAGTATAACATTAGATATTAATTAAAAATAAATAATACAAACTTATAGGTTACAATATTTAAAATATTTCAACGTCACTTACTCATGGCTATATCATACAGCTAACATGGAAAGTAAAACTAATTCGAACGAAGCCGTCGTAAGCTTTCGAGAAACGAGTACAGGCCTATTGGTACGAGTGCAAACCACTGATGAAAGCAACACCCACTTTTCGGTACTACGTTAGTCGAACTAATATCTCATAAAAAAAAAAATCAAATCTTTATCTTATCTTTTCTGACGATGATAATTATTTTTAATAAATCCATTAGTATAATAACACATTTATTTTATCAATATTTTTTTCTTCATTTCGTTCAGTAAATGATATATCAAGTTAGCATATAAATATTATAGTTGATAAAGTGATTCAAAAATCGGTAGTAGTATGATACGTAACGACCATATATCATATATGAAAAATGTAGTACGAGGAATGCAAACTTTTATTTTTAATCTTGAACTTTTAGAACATTATATCATGTGCACGATCTTATTTTATTATTGAATATAATTAAGCGTTATAATTCGAAAAAATCTGCAACCGAGTATTTTCATTTTGTAAGTGTTTCAAATATGATATGAATAATAATACAACGAAAATTTATTTGTATTTTATCTTATATTTATATAGACAGTATAGTAAAAAATGATCTCTCATTAATATATTCACATTATTCATATAGTAATGATTAAAACATAAGTCAAGTAATATAAAAAAAAAACAAAAAAAAAAACAAAAAAAAAAACAAAAAAAAATTATGTAAAGATTTGTTATTAAGAAGAAAATTCATTAATATTTAATAAAAATCCTCTTCCGTTGTTTTCGCATCTGTTGTTTTATTTTTTATCTGTTCTTGACTGTTATACATCTCTGCCACTTGCTGTGCCGTTGTAGCATCTTCACAATTCTTATCATCACGTACACGTATAAATCGCGGAAACCGTACCGATATGCCTTTTTCTGAGTCGACCTAAAATGAAAAATAAAAATAGTAAAATAAGATTGTTATTAAAAGAAATTACAGCATTTGAAATATAAAAGAAAATTTTACGATTCCGATAGCGGCTCTATGAACAGGTGACAAAGAAAGATCTGCACATTTTATTTCCCAAACTTGAATAGGTTCGAACCAATGATCCGGTTCATGACTTGAATCGAAACGATAATACGACTTCGATTGTGATATCAAATGTTCTTTGAAAAATTGTGTATGCTTTTGAAGATCTTCTTCGCTAAATCCAGTTCCAATCTGTAAAATAAATTTATGTTTAATAATTCTTTGTACTTGATTAAATAATTTTTATTATATTACAAGCATACCTTACACAAACTCTGATATTCCTCATTTTCTTTATCATAGCAAGCCAAAAGAAAACCTCCATAAGTACCAGTTCTCTTTCCTTTCCCAATATATCCACCAATTACTACTAAATCTAACGTATCACCCATTCCATCTAAATAATCTTTCTTTAGTTTCAACCAATTTCGAGACCTTTTAGCAATTTCATACGTTGCTTCTTTTTCTAATGTTTTAACCATTAGACCTTCACAATTTCCTGAAAAAAAAAAAAAAATGCGTTAATTCTATTTCTAAATGCGTATATTAAGAAATTATCAGTATAAATTTTTTTAGAAATAATTTCAACCTTTTACGGATTCTTCCAAAAATTCTTGAACTTCTTCTATCTTTGAGGTATCTAAGTTCGTAGCAAATTTCCATTCTCCTTCTACTTCTATAAAATATTCTTTTAAAAGCTGACGACGTTCTAGAAATGGTTTTTGAACGAGAGATTCATTGTTTAAATATAATAAGTCGAACATAAATACACAAACTTGTACTTTGATATCTGCTTCATTAGCATCCTATAAAAATTGAAGTAATAAATATAGTATTTTATTATACGGTGTAAGTTATAATCGATTAAAAAATATTACTTTGCGTTTACGTGTACTCAACACTTGAAATGGAAGAATTTGTTTGTTTTCATTATCCCAAGCTACTGATTCACAATCAAGAATACAATTTTTGACGTTTTCCTTTCTTGTATTTTTGAAACGTGCAATTATATCAGGATACTTGGATGTATTATTTTCTTGATTTCTACTGTAAATACTAATTTCACCATTGTCCTTCATATGAATCTAGATATTTATTAAAATCAATTATTTCCATCTCTCTCTCCTTCTCTCTCTCTTTCTATATATACAATATTACATATTGAAAATAACAACCAACCTGTGCTCTTTCACCATCGTATTTCCATTCGCATGTGAACTTCAACCCTTCAAATCGTGTTAAAACTTCTTGGACTCCCTTTGTAGGATGAGCCAGCATAGGCTTGATAGGTACTCCTGGAGTAATTTTACATTTTTCTGGTAGAGATTGAACTCCTTCTTTTAATAACACTGGTATAATTAGATCATAATTAGGACATTCACTGAAATAAAAACATATTACTTTAATAGGTAACAAATAGAAATATTATTTATAGAAAGTATTAGAAATATTAAATAATAAGCATTAAGCGCGAATAATTAATTTAATAAAGAATTCTTTACCAATAAGTAGTTTTGATTACAAGAGCAATTTCATCATATTTCTGTTTGAAATTTTCACGTGACATATTTTTACTGACATCTAAAATTTCAAATGGATAATTTTGCTCAGGTGGTGTCTTAGTACATGCTAATGCCAATGCCTGAAATATAATATAAATTATTAATTTTTATAAAATGATCATTACAGTTAATACATTTTTATCATATATTTGTTTTTTACCTGCAAAAGAGATTGTTCTGCTAAACCCACTCGAAGCTTGCCAGCTAAAGATCTAATAAAGTATCTAGCTTCAGTGAAACGACATGCAACGAAAAGGGACTGAATTTTATTTAATTTCTTCGAAAGAGACTATAAAAAAAAAAAAAAAACGAAGAGACTATAGAAAAAAAACATTCGACATACAAATTCAATGCAAGTTATATATTCACTTACCGAATGACCTATCATTTGTGCAATTTCTTTTAAAGTAATATATACATGCGACACTGTAAGTGGCGTTGGTTGGAACATAGTTCTCTGATTTGAACGACTTCCTTCAGCCACAATCCCAATATCGCCAACATTTTGTACATCTGCTTTTAATTGTGCCAGTGTTCGACCAGTACACTGTGCTATTGCCTTCAAAAGATTCGTCTCTGCCACTCCCAAAATAATACCTAAAATAATAGCAACAATTACTATTTCAGTTTTTCCTTATTTTTGCAATTTTTATTAATATTTTGTTGTCTCAAATATTATACCTTCATATGCAGGTGCTAATTGATTCAAACATAAATATATACTTGGTAGTAAATCGTTTGGACTTAAAACTATGACAGAACGAAAGTAATTTGATAATATGTCAATAATTTTTAATCTGGCACTTGTCTCTTCTATCAATTCCAAAGTTCTAGTTAGTGCAATATATGGTACCCTAAAAAATAGGAAAAAATAGTTTTAATAACAATAATATTTCTATATCCATAATCTTATTTTATAAATATTTAAGATTAAGAAGTCAAATAATTGGCTTACATTTCATCTTTTTTCCAGCAAGCATCATTTATTGGATGATATTTAGTTGTATTTGGATTGTAAAAATCAACGGCAGATTTTTTGCTGTCCACCGTATTAGATTTTGGAGATTTATTTTCTTTAGGTGCTAATAAAATTGCAGTTAATTGTAATTGATATTACTTAATTAAATATATTATTGGTCTATGAGTTTTATCTTATAAAATTGTATATATATTTACCAAAGAAATTACGGTTCTTTTCATTAGTTTTTTTAGTAATTTTAGATTGTTTCGAAACTTCTCCTCCACTTTCTGAATCACTATCCAATTCAGTATCAGATTTTTTTTCAGAAATATTTTTTTCTTCTTCATGATCTCCTTCGTTTGAACTATCCAATGACTAATATTTATTCTTTGTAAGTAATGGAGCAATACGATTAAAATTTATTTAATGTAATGGTAATTTATATATCATATACTTACAGATTCTTGAGTTTCATTATTCTTAGGATTATCCAACTGAGACACTCCTAAAACTTTATTTTCTTCCTTCTCATTTTTCTGTACAGATTTTTTGGATTCTAGCGTAATAGTTGATTCCAACTCTGCACTCGAATCTAATTGCTGCTCTTTTACTTTTTTCGATTTTTTAATAGCTTTCTTGGGTGTATTAGATTTTTTATTCTTTTTCCTTTCTTGCGCTATTATAAATAATACAATAAAAAAATTATATTAAATGAAAGAAGATTATACTTTAATTATTTTTTACACATATATTTGATATTAAAATAATAATAATTTACTTGAATTACTTGCATCTTCTTGATTCTCATTTTTAGTTGTTGATTTAGAAGATCTATAAAAGTTAAACAAATCTGTTTCTTATATGATAAGCAAACATAAATTATAAACATATAAATGTATATGATATAAATGTAACTATTATCATATATTACAATTAACAAAAAATTACCTAGTTGAATTTTTGCCATTTGGACTGTCTTGTCGTTTTCGTTTTCCTTTTCCTCCAGAACTTAACTCCTTTTCATATTTGACACTAGTATTGATATACAAGCAATTAAAATTATTGTTTAGAATTGTTTTATGCACTTGACGTTCAAGTACAAAACGTGGAAATAATAAAACCGACAAAGGAAATGTCCTTGTATAAAATGTTATTAATTTTAACATGTTAATACATTTGCATTACCTTAAATTATCGTCACTGTTATCTGTATCTTTTTTTTGTACATTAGTTTTTGTAAAAAATGATCTGCAATAGAAAGTATGAAAAAAAATATTAATAAAACTGTTATTACAAATATCAAGTATTATTGTTAATTAATGATATTTATTTAAATTACGTTATGCTTCGTTGCATCATTTCCGCGCCTTATTTAATCAAAACAACATAAAACTAACATGGCGACGTGGAATCTCACTTCTTAAAACATCAACGCATATGAAATATTAAATGAAGATTAATTATATGTATTTATTCATATACAATAATAAATATTCTTCATTTATATATTTCTATTTGTAAATATTATTATTTAATTTTCCTCAATATCTTTTTTAGTACTTAGCAAAATATCAGATTATAAAATGATTGGACAGTTATGTAGAATACGCTTTTCTTATTGGATGATGTAAAACATGCCGAAACATTAAGGCTGTTCATTACTCCTAGTTTTATAATAAAAATTTCTTGATCGATTCAAAAAAAAATTATTTTAAAAATGAAGTGATAGACCTAAATATTCGTACCCAATAAATTTTATTATATTATTCAAAACATTTATAAAATTAAAAGACCAACAGGAGAGGTAAATAAATAAATGAGAAATATATCGTAAATAATTATTATTTCATTCTTTTTTGTTTTAATAAATAATTTCTGAGGGCAATTTGTTTATCTTTGAAAGAACGTTTCACTTTTCCTGTAAGCTTATGTTTGATCATTTGATAATTTTTGGTTTTTTTCTTTTCACGATTTGTTTTACTACACAATGGATTTTGACGACCATCTTTATAACCAAATTTTTCTCTATTTTCTTGAGATTTCTAAAAGAAAAAAGAATATTTTATATTTTTAGAAATATAAATTATATTATATTATGCGTACCTTTACAGTTTCTAATCGTGCTTCCTTATCATGTCTACGCTTTTTATGAATATTTTCAATATCACCGAGCTTGACTAATTCTCCCCGATTTTCATCAGCTGGATGTGGTCTTTTTACACCAAACTTAGCAGGCATTATTTGTTGTTTTACCAGTGCCATATCAATTCTTTTGAAATCTTCATCTGAGAGTAAACGCTCAACCGAAATTAAAGATGCCTGTGCTTTTTTTTCTGCAGTTAACTCCTCTTTCTTTTGTACTTTTGCTTTTGCTTTCCTCTCCTCTTTTTGCTTTCTTCTTCTTAACTTCTTATCTCTTTTCTTTTCTCTGATTTTTAAATGCGATTTATTTGCTTTTACACCTTCTTCAGATAATTCATGCTCTTTTTTATTTTCAATGTCAACATCTCTTTGTTTTTGTTGTTCTATATTTTCTTCATCTTTGATATTATTTTCATCATCTGTACTGTTATCATCCGAAGACATATCTGTTTCATCATCTGTAACCCAATCTTCTTTATTAATTCCGTCATTACTATCTTGTACATCAATCCATTGATCTTCATCCTATAGAGAAAAGAGCTTTCTTAAGATAATGTAATTTTAACTAATTATCATAATTAAAAATGCTATCAGATAAATTATAAATATGATTACACATTAATTTATATACCTCGCTATTTTCAGAATCAATTTCTAAAGTATCATTACAGTCATTATTAAGTAATACTTCGGCTCCTGGAACAAAATCATTAGCAGCTATTTCCCCATATTTTAATGTGTCTAAACTTATTGTAGCTTCAGTAGGACGGCCTCTATATTTTTTGTGTAGTAAACTTGGCATTGTTTGTTTATAAACAGTAATTAAAGAAGATGCTGCCATCATTACACTACGCTCTCGATAATGTTTGTATTGGGCCAAATCTTTTAAAAGATCTGCATTCATAACCAATGGACATCTTGAACATATTTCACGAACAGCATTTAACCTATTAAAAATGAATTTTATATTATAAGTCATGCCTATAAAAAAATTGTATATAAAAATATTAATAAATGACATACCCAATCGCTATAACATCTCCAGAATTTCTTTCGGTTACAAAATTATTCACTAAAGTTTTAAGAACAGGTTCCAATACATCTGGAGGTACTAATTCATGACTAGCTTGTGCTACAAATTGTAGCAATTTTGTTACTTCTGTAATTTATAATAATAATTAAAAGTATATATCTTCTTGTTGCATGAATTGTAATTTGTTCATTGCTTTTTTAATTGAAATAATTACCCCTTTGGTGAGGTTGCAAGAACCGTTGTAGATAAGGGTAAAAATTAAAAAGAAACAAATTATGCAATCCAATAAGTCTAGAGATAACATCTAAAGTCATTAATTTAATTTCAAATCTGTCATTATTTTTTTCTAATTGTTTAAATAATTTTTCTGCAAATCCTTGTGGGTCATGAATTAAATGTAATGCAGAAAAATTAAATTGTGGTGCTTTTACTTTCTTTTTTTTAGATTTCTGAAATATTCATGATGAAGTTAGAAATATATATTACATAAATAAAAAATTCATAAAAAAAAATATATTACATATCTTTACTTACAACTAATAATTGTTTGGCCTTCTTCAACATTTTTTCACGCTTTTTTGTTTTCTTATTTACTTTATTAGCCATCATAACTTCTTTAATATTGGGTTCATCATCACTGTCACTGCTATCACTATCTTCCTTTTCATCATCATTACCCAAGAAAAATTTTAAACTAGCGACAACCACTTTTGTGATTTTTGAAAAGCAACCAGTAGCTATAATATTTACTGTTTTGGCATCATTCCATACATTTTTCTTGTATAATTCTATCATAACATCAGCAGACATTTTTGCGGCTCTAGCATTAGTATCTTTTAACATTGTAAATATAAAATTTTGTAAAGCTGTGTTAACCTTGGCATTTTTATGTTTTGCATTAATATTCTTAATATCAGTAATAATATGTGTTTGAAGAAATTGTCTCAAAGCTTTATCTTGACATCTTAGAAGCTCAAAAAATAAGCTGAGAAGTGTTATTGGCTCTAACAAATATTTGTTGCGCATTAGGATTAATGCCTTACAAAATGTCTGGAGAAAATTTTTATAAAATATAATTAAGAATTTTTTATACGAATGTATGATTACAATAATAAATTAATACTTACCATTCGCATATCATTGTCTAAAACAGTATTATGTTTTTGTAGTGTATCTATGATCTCCTGAGGAAAAGTTTTTAACTCTTCTGGATAACAATGGGCAACCTAAATTAAAAGGAAAAAAATTAATAAACTATATAGATAGTTATAAATAATATACAACATATATAAATGTAAATATAAAAATACTTAATATTTCATGAATATTCATATTGAAAGCTTGTCATAACAAATTATTAGAAATATATGTATATGTATTTTAATGATATTTATTTATTATATATCGAATATAAAAAATTAATACAAAATTATGGATAACTATATTAATACATTAAATATAGGTACTCTATATGCTGCAAATACATTATAATATAAATTAAATAATAAAAACCATATATTGTGCATATACATTAAGAAACAATAGAAATATAGTAAGCAATGCAGTAATTGCTTACAAAATTATAAAAGTGATATTACTGTGTTATATAAGATCATATGGTAATCTTTATATATTTATAATGAATTAAATTTGTGGTGCCAATATGATTTGATATAGGTATTACTCAGGATTAAACAAATAATCTTTTATATTCATTCCTACTGTTTTTGCTATAATTGATACAAAATTATAATTTACACAACACTTCAATTTTGGTTCATCTAAATTATTATCGTCAATAGATGCTAATAATCCAAGTTGATACATTGTAGGAATTTGAGCAAGTAAAATAGCATTTACATCAACTTTTTCATCGAGAATAGTACAAAATATAGCAAGCAATCTAGATATAGGAAAATTACGTGGACCAGATTGTATATTTGTTGTTGTCTTTTTTCTAGATATTTTCTTTTTCTTTTTACTGCTTAATTTCATAAAAATAGCTTTATCTTCTTTAGGAGGATTGGATGATGCTAAATAAGCAGCTATCAAAATATATTTAGCATAAAACGGTAGTTCAAAACTTAATGCTAATTTTGCAGTAGATTCAATTTCTTTGGATACATGATTATGCTGTACAAAATCTTCTGTTGAAACTCTAAGATATATAACTTCTAAATTGGATATTAATGTAGTTGAAATGTTTCGCCATAATCCTGAGACATCATCTTCTTTTACTAATCCAGATTTTATTGGTTCTATATACTTATTAAAATTTATTTTGGCCATGTAACGAAGTTCATTAAGATCTCTACAAAATCTATAAAATACGGACAGAAAAAGGTTTAAGTAATTTTTATAAATAGTATCACTATAATCTTTTGGTTTGTATGACAACAAAATATCCAATACTTCTTCTCTAGTATATTGAGCACAATGAATTTTGATTGGTTCAAACAAGCCAATTTGTGTATAACACTTTTCCCATACCACATTGCTTACAAAAATTGTACAAACATTAATATTTGATAATTCTTTCAGTCTTAAAAATACTGGTAAGAGATAATTATCTATATCTCGCATGTACATACACTTATCAAGAACGATAACAATTGGACGTTTATCGTACTTTGAAATTAATTGAAGTTTTGTTATAAAAGTAACAATATTATCACACTTAGGGCTTCCAATATTAGCAGTAAGACTTGGGTTAGATATTGGATCTGGGATTAGATCATTTAAGATATATTCAAATATATGTTTGTTGTTTACGTGTTCAATGCAATTGACAATACTAAAATTATATCGTAAATATTTTAGTAAGTGCAAAATAACTAATGATTTTCCTGTAGCAACATGACCATATATAAAAATACTATGTGGCATTGGTTCATCTTGTATACCTATCAAAGAATATAATTGCTTTATAATTATTTCGCGACATTTTATTTTTGTATTGAGATTTTGTAAACAAGACTCCATTATTGAAATCATCAAATAGATTTTTAAATGTAAGAAATACTTGGAAAATCTTATTTATTATGCCTGAAAGAAAAATTATGAAAATATGTATGACATTATGAATATATTTTAAAATATTATGGATCATTCATATGATAAAAAAAAATGTAAGGTTAATATTTTTCTTAATTTAAAATTCAATTATTCACCTGAGTCATAAATATTATTAATTCATCGAGACTTTTATTAAACTTATTGGGAGCCAAATTGAATATATCCAAAGTAGCCTTATAATGGAGATATTGCTGGAGAAACTAAAAAAATAAATAAACATTAGTTTTCCC